CTCAGTGAGCAACTTATATAGATATTGATATCTCAGCCCTTGTCAGTGCCAAATTGAATATTGTACCATTCGTGATGTCCTTCAAATGCCACGTATAAGTTTCAACTCAAGTGAGACGCTCGGTCCATGGAGAACCGAAGAAAAACGAGCTGCCCCATCTCCACTCTCGCGTTGGTGTCATGTTGATCCTAGTGGGGCTGTACCCGATACACCGATGCCAAAGGACGTAGAGCGTCCTAGATACGACATGATAGTTGACGGCGACGACAAGGGGGAGATTATCGGACGGATGCGATTGTCTATGCTCTTTCTTCAGAGTTTTGATATGATTAGAGTTCTTCATATCGCACTTCACAAGGTAGAAAGGAACGTGCCATCGCGTGGGTTCATAGGCGGTTCATAAGCGGCGTTTAGTTGAAGGATGATACCGTAGTTCTTCAATTCCTCGCTATCTGAGTGCAAATCTCTTGATGCTCGTTCTTCCACACCTTCGTTTGGTAGAGTCTAGAGAAGCAATATGTATGCATAGCAGCAATCTGCACGCTTCCTGAGTGGAGGAAGTACCCCTTTGAGTGTTAAGTAAAGGTAAGGTGCACTGAAACCACTGTCAGTCAGGTCAGGCCAGCTCTGGAGGGCTCAAGGCTTGTCATGGTGCTTTCAAAGCCTTGATCTAGCATTAAGCCCCAGGCTTTCTGGATGTATATACAAGTCTTTTAATTCTATAATTCTGACAAGTTTGACATACTCTCATAGTGGAAGGATGTCCAGATAGCAAATCTCACCAGTAGATCCCCCAACTGCAGCATCTACTCTATCACAAATGTGAGGCAAGTACATGGAGAAAAGGCACATTATCATATCTTCTGATCAAAATAAAGCTCTGGGGGTGTATGCCACTAGATACAAAGCTGTAGGGCTTCAGAAGATTGATATTTATTATTAAAATCAATGTACAAGTACATTGTCATGCCCTTGGCATTGCTCTATTAGTCCATACCTACCGCCATTGAAAAGCCAGTGCTTAAGCCCAATCCAGCTCACTCCCACTGGGTCAGATTTCAAGGAATTGACCATTTCATCTATCTCAGACTTCGACATGCTGGACTTGGAGGAGATAAGTGAGAACAGGTTAGACCTCAGCTTGTTCAAAGTCACTGTACTTTCTTGATTCGGGGGCTAGTAACCACTTCTAACAGGATCTTAAAGATTTTACTGAGAACTGGTTGGGAGGGCCGGGAATGACGATGTGCTTAATGTTCCGGTCCATGGATACATCTGGCACCACCGGAGGCACTACTTCTCTCCATGGGCAGTAGGGAAATGATGGATCAGCTAAGAAAGAGACTGAGTCACTCTATCCGGATACCAGCAGTGAAAACGAACTCACAAGGCCCGGATTTCTTCCTAAGAATATCATTGGAGTCAAGGTGCTCAATAACACGCAATTTTTGGGCGGTGTACTCCATCTCGTCGATATCGGACAAGACGGCGGTCTTACAATTCGCGCATTCCTGAGACAAATGTAGTGAGATGGGCAGGAGAAGCGAGGGATGGGATTGAGGACCTGGGTATGAATGTTAGAGATGACAACGGTAAAAGGGATCTCGACCTTGTCACTTGATGGGTCCGTCAGATGAGCAATAATGCATGTATATTGGTCAAGCTTTCCAAGATCGGAATGGCGAGCAGACTTTCTCGATGAAAGATTTGATACTACACCTCGTCACGAAGATGAAATGCGTGTCTGGGAAGCGAGAACGTCTCCTGAAAGCCATCAAAAACGAGCAAATCGAACAGCATGTATTACTCACTATATAACATACCATTGGCACCATTTCTGGCCCGTCGCTGAAATGGGGCTTCCCCGGGGGCGAGGCTGAGTGGATATATGAAATCACGACAGTTCTCTTCGTTCAAAAGGCCTGCAAACTGTTGACGCGAGCAGCATATGTCCTCCCACTCGACCCCGAGACAGTTTTCGTGCGCATGCCATGAGGTATGCGGTCCTTTTTCAGGTTTGGGCCCCATTACGAGCAAGATCGAGACTTTGCGTTCAGTCTTAGAACTGCCGGCGGAGCTATTTTTGTAACGTTCAATCGCGTTAGGAAGGGAAGGGCCACTGAAGAAGTAGTTACCTTGGACGGCTGATGCGTCGCTTAAAGGTGAGGGCAACTCAGCATCGATTTGAGGAGACTGAGAGCGCGTGGCTACGCTGTTCTGTGCTGCAGTTTCCTGGTCAAGTGGAAGTTGAGACACGGCAGTCTTTCCCTGAAAAAATATCCGGCCCGGATTTTCCGGTCCATAATCCCACTTTAACACTGATTTGCAATTGGTCTGCGATCCCTACTGCTCAGTGTGTGAAAGGGTCTCTATCCGTGGAAAATAATTTTCTGTACCACCACGCTTGGATCGTCTTATCGTCGCATGTGCCAAGGGAACGAAACTGACCATATATTTGTGCTTGGATTCTCAGCCATACACGATAAGCAACAAAGCGGCTTCTGGCCCGGCCGTTATCATCATCTGTTTGCAATCTCTCTCATGCTGCTGTCGTACCTCCTTTACGTCTTTTCCTTTTTCTGCTCTACTGTCGCGATACAGACCTTTCTGGCAGTAAACAGATCAACTACTACGGCTCTGAACAACGGAAATGATGCCCTTTTCCCACATCCGCAATCTCTCTCTCTCCTTTTTTATGATCATCCCATGTACCCCGACCACTCCGTAAGGATCAAGAAAACTGACCTGTGACGGAAATGTAAGGTATGAGCTTCGCGCCTCATCTACCATCAATTAACAAAAAGGGATACCCGCAGCGCATACACCGGATACATAGACATCTAAGCCCGCCACCTATTTTTCTACTTTTTCGAGAACACATGCGACCCCGACAAAGACGATGTGATCTTCTAGACTAACGGGGGGCCGGGTTGCTCCTCATCGCTTGGTTTATTCATGGAACTAGGTAAGCTCAAAGATGACGTATAAAATTAAGGCTGATTCATCTCGCCAACCTGATTAGGTCCCTGGCGTGTCCTCGACTCTGGCGGGCCCAAGTACAATTCATATTCTTGGAACACCAACGCCAACATTTTCTTCATTGATCAGCCCATCGATATTGGATTCTCCTACGCCGAGTATGGCGAAACTGTCGTAGGTGCACATTTTCCCAACACTGTATGGTCTGAGAATGTTTTCATCTGCAGAGTACGTCCGAAGATGCTACGCAAAACGTCGCTGCGTTTGTTACTATTTTCTTCAGCTGCTTTGACCAGTTCAAAGGAAGACCGTTTCATATAGCAGGCGGATCATATGGTGTATGTCTTGCAGTTTATCCTCTCCGACTCGTCATTGTTTATTGGACATACAGGGAAGGTACCTCCCTCTGTTTGCCTCGGCTGTGTGTGATAACAACGCGAAGCTCTTGGCCGCTGGTCAGACACCTATCAACCTCGCGTCTGTAATGATAGGTATGTACATATGATCTATCTCTCCAGTCCCGGAGCTCTTAGTTGTTCAACAAGGAAACGGAATAACGGATAGCATGACGACGTTTCCATCCTACTTCGACGTGCAATGCACCGCAGCCTCCGTCCTGCCAACCCTAGATATCAAAACCTATGTTTATATGAAATCCGCTGTGTGCATACATCCATTTATACCTTGCCAGCTGCTCTTACTGTCTCGTCAGCTCCCAAGATGCAAAAAATGGAAGACCCAATCCTCCGTGGACCAATTCGACTCCATCAACTGCGGCGCTGCATACTCCTTCTGCAGCTCGGTTCTCAGCGCCCCTTACGACAAACCGGTACGCAGTCTCAGTCTCCATTTTTCTCTTAATAATCACTAGGCATGAACCCATACGACATGAGCCACAAATGCGACGGGGATATCTCTGTGACGCTTTGCTACCCAATGACCAAGTCCATCACCTCACCTCCTCATTCTCCCCTTATCTGATTCCCTCCCTTCTAGATACATCCTCCAATATCTCGATGACCCCGTCATCTGCACCCTCCTCGGTGTCGATCCCTCCCTAACTGCCAATTCACGTCGTGCAACCATGACGTAGGGAGCGACTTCCACGCTGTCCAGGATACCAACGACTACGTCTCCGTCCTTCTCGAACGCGGCGCAAGGGTGCTCATATACGCGGGCACGTACGATTGGATATGTAATTGGGTTGGGAACGAGCGGTGGACGATCGCGTTGGGGTGGAGTGGGCAGAGGGAGTTTGCGAGGGAGGAACTAAAGGAGTGGTATGTCGATGAGAAACATGCTGGGAAGATGCGGAGCGCGAAGGGGTTGACATTTGCCACTATTGATGGAGCGGGGCAGATGGTTCGTATGTTTCTCTCAAGCCTGAGTGTGAAAGAGGACGATTAATTTGATTTCTTCAGGCCCCTTATGAAAGCTGAAAGAATCTTTGGCCATGGTTCAGCGGTGGCTTCGCGGGCACGATTTCTGAATCCATTCTTTGTCTTTACTCTGATTGCTTTCGAGATCAGTTGTCAAATATTTTCGCCATGAATTCAAATTTGTATCCAACAATAAAATACGTGCGGTTCGTAGTGATACTTATGAAGGAGATTCACCACTCAAGGTGCGCGAACTGGTTCAAGACATCCCTCGCAGTATCCGCCTTCGTTCTAAAACCCAGCCCAAATATCCTCTCTTGCTTTCCCGTATCATAACTCATCAGATACTTAGCCCCCGCTCCAGCACCCGGCACACCTACAGGTAGCGTTCGTGACTGCATAGCCAAAGAGTTTGCAGCATCCACTTTCGCGCACACGTAAGTCTCCAATGTGCAGAAGGGAAAGAGATGAAAGACTCACACCAATCCTGCCATACATACGGACCCGCAGACACGATGATCCTCTCGCCCCCCGCAGCATCTACGAACAACGCCCTGACGTGCGCCTCCGCCAAATCACGCACGTCGACCCAGCAATGCCCTTTGGATGCCATGTCTTCGGCACTCATGTCCCCGCGGACAACGACGTTGTACCATTCGTTGATGGCATACTCGAGGGATCGGGGGTTCGGGACTTCATTGATGAACTGATGTGTTTGGTGAGTGCGGCAAAAATAAAAAGGAAAGAAGAGCGGGCGCTCACACCGTAGACCTAAGAAGAGGGGTCGAAGAGATGAGATTTAATTATTATGCTGGGGCAGGAACCTACGTTCGGTGGATTTATAACCGTGAGGTCCCAAGGTAATGTGCGTTTTCTCTCATTAAAGAAATCCCAGGCAGCTGTATTCACCGGATAAGCGCCCTGGAAATCGAGTATGAGGATCACTACTACTTTTCTCCGCTAGAGTCTTAGACGCACAGTACTTTCCGGCAAAAGAGGCATTACTTCCTTTCTCTTCAACTTCCTTGACTGCTTGCTCGTTCCAGTCCGCCTCGGAGAAAACCGTGGGTTCGGAGGGGAAGTGGAGGACGGCGGTGCATGATGATGTGACGACCACGCGCTGAACGTTTGTTCTAGTCGACTAAAATTAATATATTTCGTCAGGAGATAAACAGGACATGGTTACCCGAACTTGGCGACGCTGGTCAGTAAGCCAAGCGTACCCTTCATGGCCGGTCCAATAACCTCTAATTTGAGTGTTCACTGAGCAAAAGGAAATGAGGCCAGTTGAAATATCTCACCTCCTGGATCCACGGCAGTCAATACGACGGGTGAAGCTGTATGAATGACACCGTCCACATCCAGAACGGTTTCATCGAATGCACCATCTTGTGGAGTGAATCAGTTCATGGAAAGTATATCATGAATGAACGATAAGTTCGCACCACCATAATATCGGGCACCTGAACAAGCTGGAACCGTTCCTCATAGGAAGTAAAGAGCTCTTTCAAATGCCTACCCTCGTTTTCGCTCCGCACTGTACTCAGAACAGCTATCCCCCGTTCAAGCAAGGTCCGAGCAATCCAGGAGCCAATGTAACCATTCAGTCCAGTTACAAGTATTTTTGTGTCGGGGTGTTGCTGGACCGCAGGCATGCTATGGTTGGAGAGAAAAGACTATCCCCGGAAAGGTAGCTCGACCTCGACGCGCGTCCTTTCATGCCGAGAATTTCACCCCGGTAAATCCGGGATGAGATAACTGTGAGACATGTCTGGTTATTGCTGGTAAATCCGTGATAAGTGTAGAATACTGGAGCCAGCCAGTTCAAGCCTTACGTGTTGAGATTCGGTTTTCACGGCTTTAATGTCATATTCTATTTATATATATTTACTGCTTACCTTATACTTTGACATTTTCATACCTATCGACTTGACTTGGAACCCCCACTGTCCCTACTCTGTACGACGAAATATACCTTCCTTTCGAGTCCAATATGCCTCCCTCCAAACCACCAGCACCTAAATTTCAACATTAAGATGGGCAAGGAATGAAAAAAAAATGGTGTAGCAAAAGTAGTACCTGCCAGTGGTCGGCATTGAGCAATCATCGAAGTGTGACCGATCGCAGAAGCATAGGCAAGACTAGCACCGTAGCATCGAGAAACTGTAGAGGTTTTTGAAATGAAATTCAGTTCCAAGAAAGAGAATTAACCCAAAATTAATGAGACATCGGGCTGGCAAGCTCCAAGCCCATTCAGCCGGGACGAGTTCAATTCAATCCCGGCCCGGAGATGTGTAGCCGTTATCAACTGGATTGACAGAATTATCTTTTGTCTTCTGTATCTCGACCCGTGATATCGACATGCTCTATTTGCATCCTCTCTTGGGAATCGGACGTTTTCTGCGGACTACGAAAGACCGTGATGCTGTGAACGACCCGGAATCCATGCATATAAAGCATCCTTCTCAGGTAATAGAGAATCCTCAGTCACTTCGATGCCTCCAATTCCCCTCATTGAGCTCAACAACGGTACGAAGATACCAATCATAGGTTAGTACACCTGCATACAGCGATTTCTTGCTCATATATCTAGGTATTGGTGGTGGTCCGAGCGCAATGACGGTTGAAGCATGTGATGCAACGAAGGATTGGATACTGACGGCGATTCAGGTGAGCTCGCCGAGCTCTTCTGTTTCGGGAACTGAACGTCATTGAAGGCGGGGTATAGGCACATCGATACAGCCCTGATATATAGTCTGGGTTAATGTTTCCTCCTTGGTCTGTACATTGAATGTCAATTACAGGTACAGAGAAGGCCATCGGCGAGGCGGTAAGAGAGTCTGGTATTCCCCGCGAGGCGTTCTTTATTACAACCAAACTACCGTGCTTTCTGTGGTATTTCTCTTTTTGAAGCTTGCTAACTTTAGAACAGGTATAACCGGCAGGATCGTGTGGTTGAATCATTCGACCTCAGTCTCCAAAACCTTGGAATGGATTACGTGGACCTGGTACGCTCCAATCCCTCAGATAGAACGCCAGTCTGAGTGTCTCAACCTTAGTACCTCATGCATTGGCCTATGGCCATCCCTTACCGAATCACGCCTCTTTCAGGTACCTGGACGGATTATCTACGAGATCCGGATGGCTCTGTAACCACCCTCGATTCTCCCACCTTCAACGAGTCCTATGCCGAAATGGAGAAAATATATGCTAGCGGGAGGGCCAAGGCTATCGGAGTCAGCAACTTTTCCATCAAGACGTATGTAGTTCCGTGTTCCCATGGATTCATATTAATGGCGAGTCCCACAGTCTTGGAGAGCTATTCCAAACAGCTACCATCATTCCAGCCGTGAACCAGATAGAGTATGTTCTGACCTGATTGTCGTACCCACGGTTCGAAGAATTATCATTTCAGGCGGCATCCCTACCTTGCACAGACCGATCTCATCGCTTACCACAAGGAGAAGAGCATCGCTACCGTGGCGTACTCTCCTGGAGGTGAAGACGCTCTTCCATGATCATTGCCTCCGTTGACTAGATTCATCCAGGCCACGGAAACGTCATCCGTGAAGATCCCATCATCAACGAAATAGCTGCCAAACACGGTGTCTCACCGACGCAGGTCATCCTCGCATGGCAAATCGCAGGAGGCATGATCATCATACCGAAGAGCGACAAGGAACAGAGGCAGAAGGATAATATGAACGTTAGTGGTTACGATTCTCTTTTGATGACTTTCTTGATTGACCTCGTTCTTTAGCTTCCCGCTCTGGATGAAGAGGATATGGAGAAGATAAACAGTTTGGACCGCGGAGAGAGGCTGTGTGACAAGATCGACCAGAATGGCAAATATTGGGGGTGGACGAAGGAACGCCTCGGGTGGTAGTAGTCGCTTTACCTCATAATGTATTTGTTGATTCTGGGTACGGGTTCTGTGTTATGGTCAGCATCTCTTTGCACGCGAGAGTATATGGCAGTTGATATCGATACCTCGACCAGAGCCTCCTCAGCCACGTAATGTGGGGCCAACTCACGATATGTCTAGACCTATGCTATCCAGTTAGTGTGTTGTCTCATTTCCAGACCAACCCAGGGATGACACACTGGAGAGCTCTACCTCAAGACGAAGATCCAGCGGAATAAGCGCAAAAGTCCTCAGCGAACGACACCACATATTTTGATCGAGGTACGGTCGTTTTCAGTGTCTCTGACCACCACCATCATTTAACGTAGCGGTCTCCTTCGCTTCAGATTCACTTCATGTCCTTGGCTATACCAAAAACACCCTTAGCTATCGAATTGTCTACTCTCAGACCAAATTCCTCATGCCTGTAGGCTTTGTTGATGCTGATTTTGGAGGATGTCATGATACAAAGAGGTTAACATCTGGATATGTGTTCACCATAGCCAGTGCCCCAGTTTGTTGGAGTGCAAAATGTCAAACTACCATAGTATTATTGACCATTGAGGCAGAATATGTTTCCCTCACATGGGCAGTTAAACAGCTCATGTGGATGTTGTCATGGCTGAATGAGATCATACTTCCACAGCTATGATCCAGACTGCTCTATGGTGACAATATGGATGCTGTAGTGCTCACCACCAGTACAAGGGCTCATGAAAAGGTCAAGCACATCAGTATCCATGAGCACTATATCTGAGAACTCATCAAAAATGGCAATGTCAAGGTCAATTTTATTCAGAGAGATTCCAACTGTTATGATTTTCCTGCTTATCTTAGCTTTGATCTTATCTTATCAGAGTGTCTATCTTATCTAAGGCACTTATTGACTAGCATGGAATGATTACTTAGCCACAAAAGGCAGCCTGTGCTATTATTCTTCAATGCACAACAAATACCTTGATAATGGACAATACCCCATTGTTCTGCACTCAATGATCAGACATCATAGCACCATAGTACAGAAATGCACAATTAGTAGAGACTGTATTTATCACATGCAGAAATGTATATAAGTAGCATAGCTTTTACTTTAGTAGACCAGCTTTGAGCTAAAGTTTATTTATACTGCTTCCTTCCCTCAAGCCTAACTTGCACTGGCCTTGTTAAACACATTTGGGGCATATATAAGTGGACTCTGACATGACTGTACAAACTTGATACAGCATCAGTTTATCACATGTTCTGATTATGTGTTAAGCAGGTCTAACAATTAGCTTGAAGCTTTTTGTTTCTCTTTCCTTATATATATTAGTGTGAAAGAAGCTAAATGCTATCAGTCTCCAACTGCACATCAAACTTTTTCAAGTTCTTGAGTGCTATTATTGGCACTCTGCTCAGGCTTTTTGTTATTATCTATCTTTGCTATGGAAACCAGTTCATCACTGCCTGATTGATCAGATACTACACTGCTCTCTGAACTGCATACAGAGTCAGGCAAAATGTCTTGCTCATCCTCCCCTTCTATGACCTCTCAGCAGAGCCTCACTGAATCTCCAACAAGCCCATAGGTGGGCCTGTACCTGAAACCATCTTCCAGCTGACTTAGAAAGTTCCTGACAAGATACAAGAGGAAGAAGCTGGCCAGATCCATCAGTTCCAGTACTTGTCCCAACTACCTCAGTGAAACAGCCTCTCTTTTCAGCAGCAGAGGCATTGCCTCAATAAAATCCTGATGCACTTCCCTCCAGTCCTGGCTGGCCTTACTGACAACCTCTCCAACAACCTCTTTGGTGCTGTGCCTTCTTCTGACCCTTCCACTGCCCTCTCTGAGCATGAGATTGGAGACCATGCTTGAGACTCTCTTGGTGATACTGCTGAACTGGCTTTAAACTATAACACAGCCCCAGAAACCCAGATCCCCTTTGACTCAGTACTCTTCTCAGATGTTGATCTCAACAGTTATCACATTGGTGATCACATCCTCAAAGCAGTTGGAAGGTTTAGAAGGAATCTCAACTATCACTACAACCAAGACACTAAAAGTCAGAAACTTGAACCCAGCATTGATTCCTGCAGAGAAGTCTGCAGACCATTCCAGAAGCCAAGCTGGTCTGAACCAACTGATAGAGGGTTTAATTGTTAAGCCTAAACTCCATGTGACTATTAACATGTGATAAACAGTTCAGAACCTTGCACTTTGGGTTAGACTGACTGAGTTCACTGATGTGTTAACAGAGGTGTGTGATCAAGGCATTTGCAAGTTGCTTGAGATAGGATGGTAGAGAATAAACTTTAGCTCAAAGCTGGGGTATTACAGTGAGAGCTATGCTACTTAAATACTGTTCTGTTATTGTGCTATAAATAAATGTTTCACAAAAGATATTGTCTGTCATAGAGCTGTTACCCCTGCTGTTGCCAGGCTCTCCACAAAGGCTGTTGTCATTGCTGTTACTGCTGTTTAGTGACAAAAGGAGTATTGTCTCTCCCTTCACAGTGCACAGCCATACGATAAGACAATGACTGACTGGGTTGCTGACCAAGCTTTCCCATGGTCCTAAGTGCTAGCCTAAGTGCCCTGACTAAGCAGAGATAGGGGTTATTTCTGAGGAAAAAGAAAAGAAAATAGAGAAAATCGTAACATTACCCCCTTCTTAAGACCATCATCCCAATGGTTAAGTTAGGGTAAGTCTTCCTTGCTGGAAGGAGGTGGGTGATCTGCTGGACCTCTCAGCCTTTCACTGGCAGGCTTCAAATGAGTTGAAGAGGTGGTGCATTGCTCTTCACTGTATGTCCCCACCATTTCTGGCTCGTCCGTCGCAGGGTCATCTTCATCATCCTCTTTAACATGTTTTCTGCTGTCGGCAGGTTGGTTGATGTATATCTGGCTAGATATCATCTCCCTTCCTATTGTTGCTGCATTTGTTTTTGCAGATATAATATTGAACATGACCACCTTTGTGTCCAATTTATTGATTCTGTGTTCATAGTCCCGAATCACCTCTTCTGCATTCATGTATTTTTCATTGACCCATTGATTTGATTCTGGTCCATATCCCTTCCAGCTGACTAAATAGTCAACAGTTGTTTTTATGCCTCCTCCTCATGCTTTAACCTTTTGGGTTTTGTGGTTTAGCACTTCATCGATTTCATAGTGTTCCTCATCATCGATGAGTTCTGGTGGTGGGGGTGGTGGTTGTTTCTGGTTTGGGAAGGATGGTGCCACATATGGTGTCAATAATATTTCATTAAAGATGTTATGGATCTTCCAGGTTGCGGGGAGCTGCAATCTGTATGCGGAATTTCTGATTTTGCATAGGACTTTGAATGGCCCTGTTTGTTTGTCTGCAAGTTTCTGTTTTGGTCTTGGTAAATGCAGGTTTGTCATGTCCAATCAGACCTTGTCATTGGTTGAATATTGATGTGGTGCTCATCAGTGTTTGTCATATGCCTTTTTTATTGTTAAAGCAGCTCTTTTGAGGGCTGCTTTGGTCTCTTCATGGATTTTTGCCATTGAAGTTGCAAAATCCTTTGATGCTGGTGTTGTTGTATAAGCTCATCCAGTTTCTGCTACTGGTGGATTCCATCCATAGTTCACAAAGAATGGGGTTTTCCCTGTTGCTGAGTGAACTCTGTTGTTATGTTGGAATGCTGCTAATGCTAGCCATTCTATCCAATCGTCTTGTCGATAGTTGATGAAAAGTTGTAGATACTTTTCAATTTCCTCATTGGCCCATTCCATTTGGCTGTCTGTCTGAGGGTGATATGCCGTTGAGGCATTTCATTTGATATTGAGGAGCCAGTATAGATTGTCTAAGAATTTAGACATGAATTGTGGTCCTCTGTCTGAAATCACTATCTGAGGCATGCCGTACTTGGCATAAACCTCATCCCATAGTATCTTTGCCCATCCCTTGTATGTCAATTCTGTTGAACAGGTGATCGGAATGATCATCTTCAAGAAGCAATCGACTATGATGATGATGGCATCATAGCTGTCACTTTTGGGAAGCCCAGTTATCATATCCACCAAGATGTGGGTCCATGGTGACAAAGGGACTTCATTTGGGTGCAGTGGGGCTGCTCTAGGTTGTGTTGAAGTCTTGCCTCACTGGCAAACCTCACAAGCCTTGACATATCGGGTGATATTGTGGTCTATTTTTGGCCACCAATATTCCCTCAAGACTAATTCCTTGGTTTTAGTGATCCTGGGGTGTCCAGCAGTTGCATGATCATGACATGTGGCAATGATATCACCCCGTAGTCCTTGATCCCTCAGGATATAGATCCATTCATCATAACAGATCAATCCCCCTTCTTTCTTTAGCCCTTGTTCATGGTTCAGTGATGGGGCAATTCTTTGATCCCACTTGTGGGGGTCTCATGTGGTGCTCTTGATGTGCTCATGCATCTCGTCCTCTGTTGGCATGATCATTGCCTGGAAGTGTTCCAGCAGCAATAATGTGACTTCCTTGTTGTTGTCTCCTCCCTGGTTATGATCTGCCCTGCAGCTGAGGAAATCAGCTTTCTTGTTTGCTACTCCAGCTTTGTGATGGAGTGTATATTCATACTGTGATAGTTCTGTGACCCATCTGGCTTGCCTGCGATTAAGCTTTTGGGGTTGTCGGAAATATCGAAGATTCTGATGATCAGTCTAGATCTTGAAGGTGTGATTGGCTCCAATGAGATAATGCCACCATTCAGCAAGGGTGAGCATTATAGCTAGGAGTTCTTTGTCATAGATTTCATAGTTGCATTCTGTTACTGTGAGGGCCTTTGACATAAAAGCGACGGGTTGCCATTTACCATCTTGTTCTTGTGAAAGTACAGCTCTAATCACACCTTCGCTGGAGTCAGCTTCTACATGGAATCTTCCATCCTGGCTGGGTATGGCCAGAATGACATCTTCAGCTAGGTGGCATTTAAGGCCATCGAATGCCACCCATTGGGAAATTCCCCAAGTCCATGGGGAATTTCCAGTTAGTTGCATCATTGGTCGCACTATTTTGCTGTAATCCCAGATGAACCATCAGTAGAAGTTGGTGAATCCAAGGAATGATTGTAGCTCCTTCTTCTTGGTTGGTTCTGGCCATTCAGTTACCCCTGCCACTTTGATGGGGTCCATTCTGATGCTTCCTTCGCTGATAATGACTCCAAGGTATTCAGTTTCCAATACCTCAAATTCACATTTTTCAGCCTTGAGGAAGAGTCAGTGCTTCCTCATCAAGGATAATACTTGGTGTACTATCTGTTGGTGTTCCTCCTTGGTTTTGGACATAATGAGT